GGTGGGTGGGAGGGGGAGGCCAGCAGGGCTGCCCACTCCCCTCTGCCCCTGCTCAGACCCACTGTGGGCAGGGGCTGTGCTGGGGCATCCCAGGTGCTTCCCACTGAGCCAAACTGGTACCAAGGGGCTCCACAACCCTCGAGGTGCTCGGCACTGGTCCTGCCCCAAGCAAAGGAGCTTGCACTGCCGTGGGCAGCTTGAGCTGGCAGTGCCCTGCGTGCCATGCATCGGGGAGCAGGGGGACTGGCAAAGCCCCAGGCAGCACAAAGGTGTGAGGATACTCTTGTCCCCATGCCCACAGGCACTGCCAGCCCTTGCTGCACCCCTTGGGGTGTCCTGCTCTTGGTGCTGCGGGGTGGGCTCAGCTGTTATGTGCCCACTGCCCAGGGTGCCTGGCGGAGCCCTGGTGCCACTTTATCTGCATGATGGTGCCATGCATTCACCCCAGCCCTGCCCTACGTGCTGCCCGTTGCTGCTCCCCAGCCCTGGCCAGATGCCCTCAGCTATCTGGCAGCAGCATCCTTGCCAGCAGCATCCTTCAGCACTGCCCACAATACTGGGCACTTGCTTCTGCTCCCTACCTGAGCTGATGCCATCCCCAGCTGGACCTAGAAAGCTCTGCAGCCCCAAGCCCTGTGCCCAGGACAGGGAGGTACGGTACTGGGCAGGCTTCTGCCCTTGTTTCATGTGCCCCAGGCTCATGCATGGCCCAGCATGGTGGAGGCTGAGCTGTGGCATGAGTGAGCCTGGCTCCCTGCCCAGTCCCGGCAGAGCCTGCCTGCACCTGGCTGCTGGCAGCCCCCTGCCTGCTCTGCCCCATGACCTGCCCCAATGCAGGGAGGGTGCCTGGCAGAGCAGCTCCACCAGAACCCTTCCTCTCCCCCTGCTGAGCCCTCCCTTGCCCACGCATCCTGCATGCATTTGCCACTAGCACCCTGATTCTCAGCCTGGCCTGTGGTGGGGACCCTGAGGAGCACCTTAGCCTGTCTGCAAGGTGTGAGGGTTCATGGGCCAGGGTCAGATGGAGGGGGGGAATAGGAGGGTCCCTGTGACATCCAGCACCCCGAGGAGAAGAGTCCCTGCGTGGGTGCATAGCTGAACTGAGCTGGCATTGCTCTCCTGGGGTCCTGGAGGGAGAAATCTGCCCCGTAGGACTCCCTTTGGCTCAGTCTCAGCATGTGTGCAGGGTGGCCCTGGCCCTACCATTCCTGCTGGGGCCTCCCTGCATGGAGACTTTCCTCAATAAACCCTGCTCTTCATCCCCTTCTGCCTGCCCTGTGTCCTCCTGCGTCGGAGGGGGGAGCGTGGGGATACTGGGGAGCACAGAGCCAGCCTGAGTAGGGACTAGGCAGCCCCCAGCACACACAGGGTGAGCGTGGGGAAAATAAGGGGGAGGGATGCAGCAGTCCATGGGGGGATGGGGACAGATCCATGGAGCAGTCATGTGACCCTGGTGACCCATAGGGAAACCAGCGCAGGAAAGGGTTTATTCACTTGGCACTGGGTGCAACCTACATGGAGCTGGGGGCGAGCAGGGGCCACTTGGCTGTGCCGGGGCAGACTAATTGTGCTGGCAGCGCCCACCTGCGCCCAGGGAGAAGCCATGGTGACAGTGGCAGTGGAAGGAGCCGTGGCTGTTGTGGCAGATATGGTCGCAGGGACTGGGCTGTGCCTGGCACTCATCTATGTCTGGAAAAGAAGGGGAGAGGGTCATGGCTACACCAAGGGTATGAGGCTCACCTGGCACAGGCAGGGCAGGGGATAGAGGGGGAATGTGGGGAGGCAGCTCTGGGGCTGGGTGGGGCTGGGTCACAAAGGCATCTCCATTGCCTGCAGCCACACAGCTATGGTCCTGCCACTCCTCAAAGCTGCTGGGTGGCAGATACCACCTCACTCCAACTCCTGCACAGCCACCATCTGCCCATCCTGCGCCCCATGTTTTGGGTTGGCACGGACCAGGGCTGTGAGAACAACAGGGCACCCCAGGGAACAGCATCCCTGCTCCCAGGACAGCAGGGCTGCGCCTGGCAGCAGCAGGGGGGTGGCACCGCGGGCTGCCGGCCCCGCTGCCTGCAGGTACTCACCCAGGCACTGGCTGGCAGCTGGATCAAGGGGGCGGAAGCCCGGGCTGCAGTGGCAGGCGTGTGCCCCAGGGGTGTTGGTGCAGAGCTGGCTGCAGTTGTGCAAGCCCTGGGCACACTCGTCGATGTCTGGTGGTGGGGAAGAGAGTGGCAGGGGGTTACAGTGCGCAGGGGCAAGGCAGCACGGCCCTGTTGTTGTGGTGTGGGCAGAGCTGCCTGCTGGACCCCAGCCCCTCCAGTGCTGCACATCTGTCTGTGCTCTCAAGGCTGGGAGCAGGGATGGGCAGGGGCAGAGCTGCCCAGGGCCACTGTGCATCCTCCAGCTAGCTCCTGGCCCCAGAGCAGGGAGAGCTGGGGGAGCTCTCCACCCCTGAGCCCCCTCCCCATACAGCCCCAGGGCAGAATCATGGGTACAGCCCTGCACCGCACAGCTCAGCAGGCTGGGCTAATAGACTGGATATAGTTTATTGGAGGGGTTCTCCGAGAGAGGGGCTGGAAGACTGAGCAGGGTCTGACTCCAAACAGTGGGGTCAATACGTTAAAAAAACAGACCAGGAGGGTCCTTCCCCTGCAGGGCCGGGGGGACCCTCCTCTGCCAGAGTTGAGAGGAGTGTCCCTGTCACCGAGGATGGGGCAGGCGAAGCACACACGTCGCAGGCCAAACCAGCAGGCACATGGTACGGTATCGAGGCAACGGAGCAAGCGACTGCCCAGGAGGTGCCAGCATGGCAGGAGCAGTGCTGGGGCGGGGAGGTGCCAGTGAAGGGGCGCTGCCCCGGGGCTACTTTCCCAGACACGGTGCAAGGGGCAGCCAGGCTCCGTGCCCATCCCACTCCAGGCCGCCCTGGTAGGGCACAGCCAGCACATCCAGGGTGGTTCGACATGGAGAGAAAGAGAGAGAAAAAGAGAGACAGGCAGAGGCCAGCCGGTCCTTCCTCCAAGGCTGCTCTGGCGTATTACGGGCAGGGGTTAAAGTGCATAGAGGCAAAGGCAGGGTCCGAGGACTAGAGGGAGGAGGGCACTGTAGGGGAGCCCGGGCCAGCTCCCGGCGGAGGGGTATCCCCCAAAAAAGGCCACTTGAGCTGCATAGAGAAGGAGAGAAGAAGCAAGAGAGAAAAAGAGAAAGAAAGAAAGAAAGAAAGAAAGAAAGAAAGAAAGAAAGAAAGAAAGAAAGAAGGAAAGAAGGGGAATCAGTGGCAGTTCTGCAGGAGGGGCGGGATGAACAGACATGGAGCCAGGGTGGAGGTGGCTGGGCAGCCACCCAGCACATTGCAGGATGCGGCCAGGCTTTTGGCAGGGAGGCAGTAGCATCCCAGGGCAGCATGCTTTGGGGCTGCTGCCCACCGGCTGGGCCAGGCTGCGGTGGCATGGGGTCAGGGTGTCCCAGCCATCACTCACCCACACAAGCCGTGCCGTCCTCATTGGGCTCGTAGCCCCGGCTGCAGCGCTTGTTGCTGCGGCAGCGATACCCGCCATAGGTGTTAATGCAGATGGGCTTGTCCCGAGGGCAGACAAAGGGAAACTTGGTGCACTCATCCATGTCTGCAAGCAGAGGGGCCTTGGTGTGAGATGGCTGGTCTGGGAGCCTAGGGCTGCCAGCCATGTCCCCTCCAGTTCCCCTTGCACATGCTGGATGACCCCCCCAGGGCACAAGCCATGTCTCTGCCCAGGAGGCTCACAGCACAGCCATGACCATGCTGCCGAATCCCTGCTGCCCCTCTATTGCTCGTGGCTCTAGCACAATGCCTGCCATATGCCAGCCATGCCTCCTGCCTCCAGCACAGTGCTCTCCCTGCTCCTGGTGACACCACAGTCCCCCTCTAGAGCCGTGCTGCTGCTCCCATTTCCAGGCCACGTGCTGGGCAGGCAGCTGTGCCCCGCATCGAGCCATGCGACAGCCCTGCCTGCATTCCCAGCCGCCTCCCTGGCTCCCACCTCCCTGTCACAGGGTGCTGCCCTCGTGCCCCTCACGGGGTTGTGCTGCAACACACCAGGTGCAGGCAGCACCCCAGCAGCCACTCACCTACACAGCGTCCGTTCTTGTGCTGGGAAAATCCCTGCCCGCACTGCATTTGGGGAGAAGCAGAGACCACCCAGACAGGGAGAAATCAGCCCTGGGCAGCCACAGAGCCAGCAGAGCCCAGCCCCTTGTTCCTGCCCACAAAACCTCCCATCCTGCACCCACACCTGGGCCTCACCTCCAGTGGGGCAGGCACGAGTGGGTCTTCTGTGTCCAGGGGGTAGGGAACCTCCAGGACAGAGTTGGTCTCACTGCTGGCCACGGCTCGTGCCACGACACGGCCATCTGGCCAGGTCACCTCCAGGCTGCTGGCTTCGTCATGCCCTGCAGGCGGGCAGCCCATCAGAGGGGGGGTCTCCAGGGTGGGCAGGGGCTGAAAGGAGGTCAGGGGGGTGGTAGGGATGGAGGGGCAAAACCTCCTCTTGCTCCCTGAGCCAGGCTGCAGGTGCCTGTTGCTGAAAGACCATGCACAGGGATGTAGCCCGAGGGGTACACATGGGGACTATGGAATGCCCTGCCAGCGCAGGGCATAGCCATAGCTGCTGGCCATGCTAAGCCAGAGGAGGGTTAATGGGCAGGGAAAGCCCTGGTGCCTGGGCAAAGCAACAGACAGGGGCTGGGGAAGGGGGCAGCTGCCCTTTACAGCATGGCTACAGTAGCTGGGCACTCCATCTGCAGCCTCATTGTCCTCATCACCCATCATGCCCAGGACAATGGACATGGGTGACTACTGTGCTGCAGGGCACCAGGGCAGCAGAGGTGGTCCCTGACCAAGGGGGTGCCAGGCAAGGCTGGGGGTGGAGGCAGCCTCTTTCCCCCTCTGCTCACCCAGTCCGAAGTGCGCTACAGGTTCCATCTCGCAGAGGTACCCTGATCCGCCATCGATGATGCGCAGGTGGGCCCCGCTGCGCCGCGTGAACAGCACCACTTTGGCCCCCCGCGCAAAGGCCCCGAAGCGGGTGCGGGGGATGACGCGCAGCCAGTTGTTGCTGGTGCCCTGCAGGGGAGGAAGGACCAGGGAGACTGAGCAAGGGGAGGCAGAAGGGGTGGGGACAGTGTGAGGATCTCCTGCTTGACTCACCTGCGTGCCCTTGAAGATGGAGATTGGCTGTGCCATGGACTCGCCGTGGGACAGGATGAGGTCCAGCATCCCATCGCCATCAAAATCTGTCACTGCACCCCCTGCAAGGACAGGACATTGTCATGCCTGGGATCCAGTCCCACATCTCCCAGCACTACACCCTGCTGCCAGTGTGGGAGGTTGCAGCAGCACTCCCAGCAGTGCGAGGGCAATAGGGAACATGGGGTGACCCCAGTGCAGAAGTAATTTCAGGAGGATAGGTGGCACCCTGAAATCAGGCAGGTGAGCTCCCCAGGCAGTGGAGGGGACAGGCAGTGGGACACGGGAGACTGCCTGGGCCACTCCCAAAGGCAGAGGTTGGCTTTGAACAAGTGGGGAATCGAGGAAGAAGACCCTAAGAGTGATGCTCTAGAGAACAACTAGAAATGGCATTGTTAGCTGGGTATGGGTGGAGGGAGAAAGCATGGGGACTGCTCCTGGGTGATGGGGACTCCAGGATGCTGGTGGGGAGCAAGCAGGTGACTCAGCCAAGCATACAGCATCCCCCAGCATAGAGGGTGACAGGCAGTGCACAGGCCTCCACTGCCAGGGCTGGGGAGACCCACCCGTGCCCCGACCCTCAGGCTCCAGCGCATCCCCTGGATTCAGCTCTTCCACGATGGGGTCTGAATGCTCCCTGCGGATGAGCCTGCCGAGCATAGATAGGATGTTAGTGCCAGCCTCTGCAGTTCCCAGCACCTTCCCAGGAGTGCCTGTCCCCTTCCACAGCACCTTGGTAGAGAGGTGACAGCCCTGGTGGCTATGCAGGGTGGATAGGGGACAGGACTGGCCCCTGTTAGCACCTCACGTCTCTGTTCCATGCAGGTGTGACAGAGATGTTGTGAGAGCCTGGCTCTTGTGGGTCTGAACTTCAGAGCAGCAATGCCATTTCCAAACACTGCTGCATCCGTCTGGGACCAGAGACCCTCCCTCAGGGGCTCCCTGCCATGCCACTGCCCTCCATCCACCCACGGGTGCCAGCACGGGGTGGACAACCAGCTCCCACCACTCCACACACCATGAGAGGAGGTGCCACACAGTGGTAATGAGGAATTGACCCCCCACAATTAACAGGGGCCATGAACAAGCTGCCTCACAGCTGCTAATCAGCAGTGCTGAGGACCCCGGGGGCTGCTGCAGGCACGATCGAAGAGGCTGATAATGATGCTGGGAAGGGCTCAGTCACGGTGCCTCTTATTAGCCGAGCCCAAACAGTGCCCCTGCTGGAAAGGATCCCCATGAACCCGGCTGTGCCACAAGGGCTGCTTGGCCCACCCAGAATGGGGCATGGGCTGCCCCAGCCCCCCAGTACGTGCCAGGCTCCTACCGGAAGAGGCGGTTGGCGGAGGAGCCACGGTAGGCGATGTTGTTGAAGAAAACCTCCAGCTCCTGGTCATTATCAAAGTCGGCTGCGATAACGGTGCGGACGGGGGACGGCATTGAGAACTTGGGGGTGGCAATGTCCTGCACAGGGAATGGGCGTGGAGTGACAACAGGCACAGGGAGTAGGACACCAGGTCCCGCTTTGGTGCTTTGGGTCCCCTCCTCTCTGGGACGTGGAGCTCAAAGCCAAATCAGGGTGAAGCCAGCCCCCCAGCCGAGGAGGCTCAGTGGCAAAGCCAGCAGTGGGGGGGTCCCAGCCCTCACCCGGAATCGGACACGCCCAGGGGCCCCGCTCTGCAGGTAGAGGCGGTGCGGCCCATTCCAGTTGCCGTAGACGATGTCCACCCGGCCGTCGCGGTTGAAGTCAGCCAGCGCCACACCGCGTCCGTGCTGGTAGGGGTCATCCAGCCCTGGGGAGCCGCAAGGGGATGGGGGGAGAAGGGACCCCCTCCCTGCCTCCATCTCCTCGGGATGCCTCCCGGGATGTGCCCCGTGGTCCCCAAACAGGTCTTCCCTGTGCAGGGCAGCGTCCCTGCGCTGATGGATGCCCTGGTGCATCTCAGCCACCCCCCGTGGTCAGCAGGGCTCTGGGTCCCAGGGCTGTCCCTTCACCCTGCACTCAACCCACCTGTGCAGGCAGGGGCAGGCAGAGCTGGCCTCTGGTTCTTCCCCCATCTCCCCCTACTCACCCACAGCAGCCGCCACGTCCTGGTATGTCCCGTCCCCCCAGTTGTGGAAGAGGAAATTGGGGCTGTTCTCGTTACCGCAGAATATGTCAGAAGCACTGTCGCTCAGGATGGGACCCACAGCCACCCCACGGCCCCCTGGGGACAGCAGCCCGGGTGTGAGGGGACAAGTGGTGCCCTGCCCCAGCGGGGTTCATGCCCTCCACACTCCCTCGGTGCTGTCCACCTGGTGCTCCCAGGACCCCCAGTGTCCCCTCCTTGCCCACCTCCCACCTTCATTCCCTCTCATCAGGAGCTAACTGGGCCTCACAGACGCTTGTGTCACTCCCAACCCTAAACACTGCCATCGCCATGGTGACAATACTCCTAAGTAGTGACAATTTACTGCTGGGGAGATGGACCACAGCAGTGGTCCCTGTGGCGGTGGGGCAGCATGGGGCGTAGGCTGACACGCTCCCCGCTGCCCTGATTGTGTACCCATGTCCCCGTGTCACACTGCCTGCCCTGCAGATGCTGCGGGCTCCGGAGGGATCAGTCCAGGTGATGGTGGGTACGGGGGGTCCTGCCAGATGGGCAGCCCGTGGCCCTGGTCCCTTCCACGAGCCGTGGGGCTGCCGCTAGATGGGGCAGTCAGGCAGGCTAATGCGTGGCACTGGCCACTGACTGCGCTGCCCTGCAATGGGGTCCCTTGCTCGTCGTGCCCAGCGGCACCCCGCCCCTCTGCGAGGTCACAGCAGCCGGCTACCTGTGTATTTGCTGACACCAGCCTTGGCGGCCACATCCACCAGCACCACGACGCCGCGGGCAGGGTCACTGGCAGCCACGTCCATCTCGATCAGGGCGTGGGGGCCCACGTTGCCGCTGGCGTAGTTGGCGATGTAGATGGAATACCTGCCAGAGCCCTGCGGCCGGCGGCACCTCCTCAGCACCCACCTGCCCCAGACCCATCTCCACGGGGACCACAGGATCCCTGTTGTGGGGCTGGATGCTCTCACAGCTCCATGGGACCAGGCACCTCTACCAGGTGCCGAGCAAGAGCTCTGCAAATCCCATGGTGAAAAGCATCCCAGGAGTGGGGACATGCCCCATTGCCTCCAGGAGCTGTGGTCCCCAGGGTCACAGTGCTGGCATGGGGCAACCTTCCCCCTCAGCATACCCGGTGTGCCAAGTCCCCCTCATCCCCCTTGTCCCATGCAATAGTTGGACCTGATTTAGTGATAATCATTTAGAAGCAAACCACTGGAGGAGGAGGAGGAAGAAGAAGAAAGAGCAGGTGACAGGAACATAAATCACCTCGACAGGCACGTTTATCAGCTGGCAGCAACCGTGTGGACAGGCGCCTGCAGTCCCCACGGCTGGGGGGGCTGCCAGCACTGACAGTCATGGGCTACTCGGGGGGCACCCCAGGCCCCAGTGTGGAGTGGGATGGGGCTGGTGCTCAGGCGAGGGGAGAGGTCCCCCGGCTGCCAGCAGGGGAGGGCTGAAGGGGCACTGGGGCTGAGAAGGGAGCGGAGATGCCGCCTGCCCGCCGTGCCCTGCCTGCTCACCGTCCGGTCCACGCAGGCGACGGAGCGCCCAGCGAAGCGGCTGGCCACGTCCCGGTTCACCTCATCGCTCAGGAGGTCCTCCCAGCGCCCGTTGCGGAGCTTGAAGAGCTTGTCCGTGTATGTGGCCAT